GACTGTTACTGGTAGGAAGTCTGTTCTAAAACACCTCCAGTTTTTACTGCATGTTGTAGACAATGAAGTCTCCTTACAGGATTTGAAAATAAATTGCAATAATTAAAAATTCATAACGAAATAATAACAGAGGTGATTCAAATACTTCATGGAAAAGAACATCTCAGTCTTTTATAAATGAGCAATCCGAAGAAAACACATAACAGCCCTTTTTAATACTGCGCTAAGTATTCAAGTGAGGCAGGATTCAGGTATTCCCACAACCCCCGTTTTCATTCTTGCATCTCCTCGCTTCCTTTGCCAAGAACATAGTGTTTCTGTTTCGGTTATAAAGGCCTCATGCACATTGGTTTTGCATTTTCTGTTCCGATGGCTAACAAACCATACACCACTGTTCACAGTGAATCAGACAGACACGGAGCACGGAGTAACATGTTCAGTATACAGAGGGAAATGACAACATGCTGTTTGGAGATGTGTTGTGAAAATAGCAGGCTTTAATGATAGCAGCTTTTCACTGGAACTGCCTCAGTAGGCAAATCTAAAACCCTGGCATGGCAACAGTGGTTCTGCATTTGCTTTCTTACATCTGAATGGATGGTATTGGGTGCAGTCGGTGACAGCAGCTCTGTGATGCCTGCAGTGCCTATGTGAGTGTGGCAGGGGGATCCCGGCGGGCAGCAGGATGGTGAATGGGAGAAGTGTTCCCAGTTCAGGTGCCTGGAGATAAACATGAGGAAGAGGCTTTGCTCAGGCCAGGCACCTGGGCTCTGACAACAACAACAGTTGCTGAGCTCACATAACATGCCTGGTTTTGGCAGGCAACCTGTAAAAATCATCAAATCCAAATCTACTTGATTATTCCCTTAATCAGGAAGATAAGTACTGCTCATCAGGCTTAATGGGCAGTTAACATCCCTTGTTTTTATTGTGTTGTCTGAGACTGCTGATTTGGATCTGCGTTTACGCTGCAGTAAGGGCTGCTACAGAAACGCTGCTGATACATCGGGCAGCTGACGGCGGTATCAGCACAGCATGCTAAATTCCAGAAGAAGCAGCCACGTCACATCCTTGGGATCAAAACCGTAGTGAAATTGTTGAAGACTTTCCACAGATGTCTGCGAACTGTTGATCGTGCTGTTTACAAGGAAGGGGGCTGCAGATTAGGTGGTTTTATTTACCAGCCAGATGGCAGCAGGCATTTTTGCGTCTCTCTCTGAAAGCAGGCACAGTAAGATACCTGCTAATTTGGGAACTTCCCTTCAGAAAATCGTGCTAATTTTGGTCCTAATAGTTACTGGAATGGGTCAGTGATGTGGCCCTGAGCGGGAGGAACCCATGCTGATTTGGAGAGGGGAGTTTATTTGGTCATTTCCTTCTTTTTTTGAGTCCTTTAGGTAGAAGAAAGAGCAGTGTCTAAGAGGGCAAGATATTTTGTTAAGCACACAGGTTCCCTGAAACCAGAAGGTTTGAAAATAAACTGAAGGTTGCCTATAATCTGAATGGTACTTAACTGAGCAAGCCAGGGGCCTGCAGACAGCAAACCTTAGATGGAGAGATTTTCTGTTTTTCAGATGAAAATCAAAGCCTGTAAACATGGCAGTAGCCTGCATTATATCTTCTGGGGTTATACTTATTAATTCAATCTTCAAGTCTGGATGTTTTTCAAAGCAAATGCTTATTAGGGTATAAGAGGCATAGATGTATAATTTTTTGGGTAGCAAAACTTGGCAAGAACTCTAATTTTGGAGGAAAAAAAATCCAAGCAAACATTGCCAGTCACTGTTCCTGTTCTGCTTCTACAGTTAGCCTAATCCTATGTTTCATTACATAGCCACATGGGTGCTTGAATCATTGTATGGAGTACAGGCACAAAAAATTAATCACACTGCCAATTAATTTTCAAAGAAACTTATTCAGAAGGTTGCTAAGTGCAAGAAGTTTTGTAAATCTAATATAGCAGCTCACTGGGTGTCCATTATTTAAATCTGAAGGACTGTAATGAAATCTGGTGAGTTGATTCTGCAGTGAAGTTTCCATGCTGAATATCAAGGCCGTCAGCAATCAATAAAGCTGTAATATTTTGTTTCATTAGACCACTGAGGTAGGATATGTTTGGAAAACTGAATTAAACAGACTGAAAACCTCTGCTCAAATGCCCTGGCAGGAACTAGAAAATTGTCTATTATGTAAAATGTACATTCATCCATAGTTCTGCTTTTCCAACAGCAGAGTGACGGCTCACTGCATCTGCCTGTGACACATAGGAGATGGCTTTCTGAGTGTATTTAATGCTGTCTCTGTCAGCTCTCCTAATGCTCTCCTTATTCCTTTTTGTCCTGGGTCTTTCTAAACACACTCAACTCCCCAACAAGCTGGGGTGCTGGGATGCTGCTCTGGATTACCTGCATCCTTTTCCCACCTGCATATCAGAACCCTGGAACCCGTTTCTACTCAATGAATCCCTTTTAATCAAGCAATATTAAATGAAGAAATAGTAATATCTAAAAATAAAATTGAAAACAAATAAATAAAAAGGCACTCTAGTAAGCCTTACCCCAGTGTGCAAGAAATGCAAAGAATTGGCTGAAGTTTGCATTTGCACTCAGTTTCTATGGGGGAAATGCTCAGATACTTTGCTGATGACGGGTGATATAAAATGGTTGCATTATATCGGAGAATTTAGAAATGAGAAGAGTCCACAAAGCCAGTTCAAAGAAGCATGACCTTTGAGGAAATTTAGTTATAATTTATCTGAATAAGAACACAGAAGGATCTGGTATAAAGTCCTGTGACCAGAGACTGAGAATCTTAGCAAAACTTCTCTTTCTCCTTAGAAAAAAATAAAGGAAAAACCTTTGAGCAGACCATGACCTTAAATACTGTGAGCATCCACACAGTTAATTTTTTCAAGGATGATCACTTAGAGGAAAGGAATTAGAAAAATGCTTTAAGACCATTTGCTATTCAGCTGCAGTGGTTTATCGGGATAGACAGATGTTTCTAGGCAGGCAGTAAGCCTTTGCCTTTGTACTTTCTACAGAGCAGCACTTGCTGGGATAGCTGCTAAATGTGTTTTTCAGTAGGAAAATTGTGTGAGACAAAAACTGAGTATGGTATCTGAGTGAGGAGAAGCCTCATGCAACAGATCTGAAGCTGCCATTCAATGGAAAACTCAGGAAACTTGTGTTTTTGATTATTTTTTTTTCCTTCCCAATTTGTGAATTAACTCCTAGAAAAGCTGTCTTACAGTCTTGGAAAACACACCCATTTCTATTAGGGCAGGAAACCAACTGGAGGAACAGGAACATTCAGACAGTAAGGCAGATGATGCCTTCCCAGATCGGAGGGCCTGGAATACTCCAGGCATTTTTGTCACCTTCTTCCAAAGCATCTGGTGCCACCACTGTTGGAGAAAGAGTGGAGCAAAATGGGCTTGGGGGGGATCCAAGCTGGCAGTTTCCACGTTTTTGAGAGATACAAATCAGTGCACAGGTGTCAGGGAAAGGGCTGTGTTGCTCTATCTACATCTTTAAAACATACACACTTGGAAGGGTTTCCTCCATCCAGGAGGCCAGGCAGGGGTGGGTGCCACCCATGACCAACAAACCAGCAGATGATGTGTGGTGGGAACTCCATGGAAAGCCATCAGCCTTGGAAAACAGACCACAGCTGCATCCTCTATGTCACTGTCATCCCCGGCTTTTGAGGCTTTAGAATACGTCCCTCTACATCCCCCTCCTCTGCATTTATTTCGCACTGTGCCAAGATCCTGAAGTGTCTGGTGTGCTAGAAACACTTAATAGCGCGGAGCAGAGCTGGCTGATTTCCATTCTCTCAACATGCTGCCAGCTCACTTCTGAGTTTGAACAGTGATTTGTCTGCGATTTTTGATTATTATTTTCATTATTCAGTCTTTGAGGGGGATTTGCAGTAAAAAAGTGGTGGAGAGGTAGAGGCTCAGGAAGAAATGGGGATTTTCTGTGGACTTAGCAGAGCATCTATGTCTTGTGCTCATCTGGCCCTGCTCAGCTGGCTGGTACCAGGGGGCAGGGTGGCAGTAACCTGCTTGCACCCCATGCCAGTGGGTCACTAATTAATTCAGTTAGCAGAGATAACACCAGGCAAACAGCAAATAGCACATACCAGAGAAGAGAGGAGCTGCAGGGAGAGGCTTCCCGATCTCCTCCATCTGAGATGCTGCTTAGCAGCTGGCTGGCAATGTCCCTCTCTCTTGGAAGCAGCATTTCCCCCTTTCTAGCTGAGATTCCTGCAAGGCATTGAAATTTGGATGTCAGAAAGGACATGCTGGTGAATACACTGCTCTTGAAAGTGTCTCACATCCACCGAGCTGCCTGTATGGAGGAATACCATTGGCAGTGGCCAGTTGGCATGAAACAAATAGGAGTTTAACTCTAAGGATTATTAATTATATATTTTTTCAGATTGATAGTTGCCAATTTTGCTATGGAAATGCGGGTTAGATCACACAGGCCTGCCAACCGTCCTCCCCAGAGCCCCTGCTGTAGAACTGGAGTACCGCAGCCTTTCACAGTTCTCTAGGAAAGACTCTGAGATCGTCGTGGAAAACCTAGGCAGAGCCAACAAGTATGAGACTAGGGGAGCAGGGTGATCTAGGGAAGGTCTTCTAGTGCAGTGTTGTGTCCTCCTGAGTCTGAGGAGAGCTGTGGCATGCCCAGAGATGGTCATGTAGATAAAATTTGCCTTCCTATTCAGACCTAGGGCTCCTATCAACTGCAGAGCATTGGAAGATCAGGACTTCAAGAGCAGACAGGTTGGTGCTGTGCCATCATTTGCAACGTACAGAGGAAGGCTTTTATTCCAGAGCACTTCCCGCAGCAGCCGCTGCAGACGTTTCATTTTTATTTTTATTTTTTCCCAGAAAAAGATTTTTTTTTGGGTGCTTTCAGCCAGCTTCCCCTCCCGCTCCCACCCTCCTTCCCACACGGTTGTCAGCTGGTTGGTTTGTGCAGGGGGAAGTTTCTGTTCGTGTGGTTCAGTTTGTCATAACAGTCGTGGCAGGAGGAAATTGTTTGTTCTTTTCTTTCTTTTTTTTTTCTTTTATTTATTTATTTATTTTTTTTAAACCAGGCATATTTCAAGTGTAATTTTGAGGGAGACAGCACAGGGAATGGTACCTGCAAAATGAACTGAGGATGTTCAGCTGACTGGTGGCCCTTCTAAGATGGAAATAACCTCTTTGAGGGAATGTACTGCTCCTAATCAGAGACTAATAGCTAGTGGATCACTGGATACAAAGCTGGGGGCTGCAAAGGATGTTTGTGAACTGGCTCCTGCCCCTGTCTGTCTGCAAATGGGCCCAGCTTTGGCTTTTATTTCATTATTCAATGTGATTTGCAGCCTAGCAATAATCTGCCTCTCTCTTGGCTATGTATCCTGGCAAAAGCAAGGGGCGATCTACATTGGCACCGTAACTCAGGGTAATGCCTGAGCTGCAGGGCTGGAGCGGCAGGTGGGAGTACTTGGGATGGCAGGTAGGATTGTGCCCCGTGCTGTTCAGAGCTCAGGATGAGATAAAATAACCTGATACAGCTCTCCCTGGTACAGGGGCTGAGCTACTCTGGGTCTCTGATGGAACCCTAACCTGTTATTGCAGTAAAATCCAGGTAGAATGGTAGGATTACAAAACCCATGACTAAATGCATGACTTCTAGCTCAAGTTCAAGTCTTGAATTTGTGCACAGCATTGGGACCTGTGCTAGTGGCTGGAGCTGAATCATAGCTGAGCTGAGCAGTCCTGGTTTCCCAGCTCCTTTCTCAGGGACTGGAGCTTCTTTTCTGGGTTTCAAGCTTCTGTAAACTACAGATTCTGTGTTTTTTCTGTTCTTGGGGGGACAAGTTTCTCCTTTAGCTCAGTGTCTGATCCCTGGGCTTGTGACCTTTTGTGTTGTATGACAAATTCGATCGATGCGATGTTCTTTCCAGCTACTGCATTTCTGTCTCCTCTGCCTCTGCCATTGATATTTGGGGTAGATTTTGCAGAGGACTGAAGATACCCTTTTCTCCATATATTTTTCATCTTCCTGCTTTCGCCAGCTCCACAAAACACCCTGATGATGTTTCTCCCTTCTCCTTTGCCATTAACAGCTATATTTTGTGACAAGAGCTATAGTTGCACTCGGCATGCCGAATTTTGCCGTTATTTTAAATAACCATCTGCTCTCCCCACAGTCTGCTACCTCGCCCTTAATTTCTTTATTTTTTGGATGTTTATTTTGATTAGCCTTGTCACATGGTTTTAAGGAGACCTTGCTTTGCTTCACGCGCTGCTGCCATCTTGATACAGAAAACTGGCTTACAATCAAAACGATGTTATTTTTTCCATCTTTCTCCTCCCCCCCCCCTTTTTTTTTTTCCAGAAAAATAGGCTTTATGTAACAAAGTGTTGTGTAAGGAGGAGAACAGCAGGAAGTGCACAGCACTTATGGATTTTCTTTTCATCTCTGCCACAAATCCACTCCGACACATTGGGCAAGTCCGTACAGTCCAGATCTTATTGGGATCAATGCGATAGCTGCAGAAGTTGCTTAAGTAGATCCGTCGTCACACCTGTGTAATGAAGATTAAACTCTGACCTAGAGCAAAAATAAAATCTTGCAGGAGCCATCTATTATCAGGGAAGAGCTGATGTGCTAAAGTAGGTCACCTTTGTTTGTTTTCATTAAAATTCCTGGGACAGACGGGGCCTGAATTTCAGACCAACGTGCATATTTGCATGGCATGTTTAAGATTTATAATACATATGCTGCTTCCCTGTTAGATGAGTAACTGAACTGTGTGCATACGGCTGTGGTATTTAACAGAAACAATTCCGAGAGGAGAATTTGTGCCTGCGATGGAAACGTGACACGCCATAAGAAGTCTGTCTTGGAGGAGCAAAAAATCACCGAGAAATCGGTACTCATTTTGCAAATACAAATTTAATTAGTCTGGGTTGAATAAAGAAATGTGATTTGGCTTCCTGGGAGAAACATTTTCAAAGGAAATATGGTCCCACTGAGTGCTTCCTCTGCATAAATTCCAATTCCCGTGTGTCCGTGGAGAACACACTAAAGCGTGGTAATATTACAACTACTCCTGTGCTGCATTTCAGGTGTACTGCACTTCTCCTTGGGACTCACCTTGGTGTTGGCTCTGCTGGTATATGACAAACGCAGCTCTGACCTTGGCTCTGCTGGTCTAGACGCAGGGAGGTGAGGCTGGAATCAGGCCCTGCAAAGAACCCACAGTTAACTTAATAAATTGTGACCAGCGTGAGCATACAACCTGGGCAGATTAATTCTTATCTCTTTCATCAGTCTAAATTGCGAGTAATTCTACTAGGAGAAATGAAGGGAAAAGAAGGTCTTTTGGCTCCATCAGGGATTTCAGAAGTTCACTGAAGGTGTAATTTTTATGTTACAAAACACAAGGTATTCATTCAGAAGCTTTAAAAAGGTATCTTAGACTGTTTTAACACCACACACTGCTTTCAGCAGTGTATGTCAAGAGCAACCCTACCGAAATCAAAACAGTTCTTAAGTTTCTTTCTGAATTAATGATATACCGATCTCATTATGGAGTATTTTTGGGGAGATAAATTTGAATACATTATTCTTGCTTTTTTTTCTGGGGCTAGGCTAACTCATACTATTGCACAATTTCTGCAAAGTCAACACCAGCATAGGTAGTTAGCAAATCTGTTCCATGTGTGTCTGCGTCCAGAACTGTAATATTACCAAGTCTCATCAGAAAACAGGAGAAGGAATGTCCTTAGAATGTAGTATTCTTTTTCCTTACCTTTACTTATCCTAAACTCCATTCTATACTGGTTTCTGCCAATATTTATTCAGCCTTCCCACTCTGTTAAGTTTTTCTGAAACAAACCAAACCCAAACCAAACCCAAACCCCAAAACTAAACCAAAAAAGCCCAACAACTAAAACCCAGAGGTTCTTTGTGGAGGTGCTAACACTGATGCTGGCTTGCAGAAAAGAGAACCTTCATTACTGTTGAAGGCTAACTAAGCAATGCTTATATTATCTGCACAGTGCAGCCATTGATTCAACACAAGAAACGTCCTTTTCTATACAGTCGTCCTTTGTCTAAGCTGCTATTGACTACCCTTGAGTGCCTATGGGAATTCATTAAGTTTATCTGGTGAATTAACACCGTGAAGGACTGGAAAGTGCATTATTTCTTCGAGCACAAGGATACGCACTGCTGCTGCTCGCACTACTCAATGAAAAGCAGTGATGAATGATCAAAAGAGGCTCATCTGTCCAAGACAAGTGAAAGCCACATAAATCTTGTCAATGCAGAGCCACAGAAGGGGAGGCTGAAAACACTGGTTTGGAAAGGATGGATTGAGAGATGTCCTGGGGAAAGTTTCCTGAGCTCATTTGCAGAATGCTCTATTCTGGTTTTACTAACCTCAGGCAATAGCAGGCACTTCTCAAGCAACCAGAAGAAGAGAAACTTTCCAAAGTCTTCGAGTGATTTTATTTTTTTAAAGGGGTACTGGTGGTGGCAAGGAAGTAGCAAAAAATTAACCCCTCTAGCCCTCTTGGCTTGTACGGGATGCCCGTCCCTGCATCTCCTGCCCCGGGGGGGATCCTTACAGCATCTCCTTGTTTATGGCACCTACCAACCAGCACTTCTGTCCATGACGGGATTATTCTAAGGGCAGCCCCGAGAACCTGTGAATGTATTCAGCTGTAGCAGAACTGGCAAGACTTAAAAAGTAAACACTGGATGAACTGGAGAATGAAATTTCAATGAGCTGCAGAGATGAGTGCATAATGGAGAGGAAACAGCAAGTGTGAAGGAGAGATTAAAGGACTGATTGACATCAGCTGCCCTCTTCTTATTCAGAATGGGCTTAACTGATACCTATGTTTAAATCATACTTACCAGCTGACATCTTTTCCTAATTATGCCTAATTAAATTTAGACTATGAAAATTGTCAGGTCATGCAGTTCTAGTCAGATTACTTTGTAACTAGCTAAATCAGGAGTAATTGGAGGCATTGCCCCAATATATAATTTACTTGACAGCTCAAATTCATACTTAATTTCCATGGGGAGTTTTCCCAGCCCCCACTGAACTCTGCAGTGCTCATTGGGCTGGAGGTTTTAAACCAGTCGAGCCTTCCTGCAGCACGCTCACAAATGGTGCCCACCCTCAGCAGGAAGGGCAGCAGCTCCCCTCTGTCTGTCTGTCTGTCCGTCCGTCCGTCCGTCCGTCCATCTGTCTGTCTGCAGATGGATCTGCCTCTTCTCTGTCTCCAGTGCTTGAAGGCTGTCAGCCAGAGTATTGCTTAGAATCGAGGAATTCAGATTCTGATCAAGACTTTCTGTAGTTGTGATTAATTGGAATACCTGCAGATGACCGAGTGCCGCATGGGGCTGCAGCTCCAGGGAGCTTTCTGGTGGCTGTGCTTAACCTTTTCACTTACAGTTTAAACTTAAACTCCTACAAAGTTCTCAGCATCCCAAGTCTGGGCAGAGAGTTGGAGCTACCATTTTTTTGTCAGAACAATCTCATGACATTCTTATGAGGGTCTAGTCGGTGATCCCATTTCCTTATTGATGAGGTGGCAATGCAGGCACCGTACAAGAGAATTTGAGAAGATGAGAGGGAAAAAGGTAACTGTCTTCATTGGAAATCTCTCACCCACTAGTAAAGGGTGGCCAAACTGCCTGCTCTAGTGGTTGTACTGCAAAAATTGCAAGGCACTGAGGTTGACAAGACCCTTAGAACACATGTGAGAGAACTGAGGCTCTGAAGTTCCCCTAAGTGACAAGGTGGGATGTGGGGTGCTGCTGATGGCGATCCTCCTACAGCCTGCAGATTTGGCTTGCCTGGCAGCCCCCATTAAACAGCCTAACCATGGGACTGTGTGTCACCCACCGTGTCCTATTAACAAGTCACTCTTGGACAGAATGATGGCGAGGTGAGAGAGTTTCTAGCTAAAGCTGTAATCTATGGGCAATAAAATATGCTAAAAGCTCTTTGGGAGATGTGCTGGTTTGTCTGAGTTGCTCCAGCACGGGATCCAGGATGGAGAAGGGCAGGCAGCCTTAGTGCTAGTAGAAAATGTTTCCACAGATTGCTTTGCCTGTGCCTCTGGTTGTTGTGGCACTGGGTGTCCCTGGAAGCTGGGTGTCATGGAGAGTGCCCTGACTTTGGGACAACATTCACACATACAAGATGAGTTGCATTTTCTGCTATTTTACTCTGTTCAGAGCAGCGGTTTGCCAAGCTGTACTTGAGGATCTAGCCTATTATTTTTGATTAGCATCTTCAGTTTTTGGTCGTGCTCACCTGTCCCAATCAGAGATCTTTCAGTTCTGCATGGAGAATATTTAAAATAAAGGCACATCTGACTTGGCTGGAACAGCCCTCTTTCCCTAACAGCTTGGTACGTTATCAGCTGCTGTCATTTCTGATTACATAATTTTAGGATTTCATAACCTTAATCCTGAACTGGGGCTGGACTTGATCACAACATAAGAAGTTTAAATGCTCTTGGATTTGAGGCAGACCTCAAATTGGCACTGTTCTCCAGCCCCGCACGTCTCTGAGGTAACAGAATTTATCATTCAGCACAGAGTTTGTTCCCTGGTTTAGAAGACTCTTGATTGCTATTGAAAAGGATCACAGTACAGATCTTTTGTACAAATAAAGAATGAGGTTTTAAGTTCCAACAGAACTATAAAAAATCCCAAATTCAACTCTTTTTTGATGCATTTACCCAATGTGGATTTGATACCTTCAGTATTTGTAATTTTCCTCTGCTTCCATTATATAATGAACATAATATAATAAATATAATATAAGGAAAGACTGAATGTAAAGGTAAGATAACCTGTGGTCAGATATTTATACCTGGCCATTTCCTTAAACACTCCAAGACAGATTTCTGCAGGTCCTACCAAACTGAATTAATCCACTTTATTACATATTCTTTAATCTGCACATGGCCTGTGCTTCTCACTCTCTGTGGGAGTAGTGGACCACGTGCCTCATTTCACCTTGTTTTTAGTGCAGGTATAGCAAGGCAGGTATGAAATATTTCAAGTTTCTTCTAGTTCATCTATAATTTGATCTTCTTCTGCTGTAATAGATCCATACATCTCTGTGCTTGGTTATCTCATATATCTAGAGGTTTTGGTGATAAAGGTTGGAATAATATTTTCAAGTAATTAAATACAAGAGTGAAAATGCATCACCAAAGTCTACAGGAACCAGCTCCTGATGCTTCTGATTTTTTTTCCTAATATTTTATCCTGATATCTCCCAGTAATAATTTCTTAATATTCCAAAAACCATCAGTACATTAATAATTGAATAAGGCAATGCCTCTCTAATAGCAACATCGTGTCTCTTCATCTGTGTGTCAGCCCCTGGTACACTGGCTGTTAAAGGAGATCAGAAACGACGGAGATGAGGACAACATGGGCAGGATGACTGCATTTTGCCTTTTCCATGGCGTGGACACTTTGGGATACATTCTCTTTAGGTATCTGTAAACAGTGCTTCAGTTGGAAGCCTAACCATAAATTTCCTAAAAAAGTGGAAAGATTTTTCCCTAGCACAGTTTGGGTTAAACCTAACCATGAGACTTTCCCGGCAGCTCGTCCTCAGGAGAGATTTAGCTCTTCCCACCGACCGAGAGCCCTGAAGCATTGAGCTGATTGCTGGAGGTGTTTGGGACGGGCAGTCAGTCTTACCCCATCTGTACATGGTGTCGGTGTGTACTGCACTGCAGTGGTGAAGCCTCTACAGAGTTGTTACAGAATATTGCACTCAAGGAACGTCAATTACAGCACTTTATATTGAGAGCAAGATTTTAAGCTTACTTTCCTGATGGTCTTTAATGACCTATTTAAAAAATGCGGCCCTAAACAGGCTTCCTACACCAGCAATTTGAAGGTTCATGGCAAAATTCAAGGATGCTCAGAGCTCTTGCCCTGCATTACCTACCGGTTAACTATTTTGTTGTTGTTACCTTGTTTGTTTTGTGCTATTTAGTGGGTTGCTGACCAAGCTGCAGAGGGAAATTGTCATTAATTATTGAAGAATTGTGTCTAATCCATCAGGACATCACTACTGCAATAATAGTTCCACCGAGGAGACAAAAAGAGCCTTGAGTAAGGAGTTGGAGGTGTTCCAGTGAGGACGAGCAGCCCCAAAAAGCAGCCTTCTTAAGTTTGTTAAGTGAAATTTCTGTATGCTTCCTTCCTTCTCTGCATTACATGCCAGAAAGGAAGGGCAGTTATATTTTAGAAAATGAAATTTGTTTTCTGGAAGAGTTCCTGAGCAGGAGCTAACAAACCTGATCTTGAGGAGCTGAATTCCTCTGTCAAGACAAATTCCTCATGTGTGGGGTAACCCTTTGGTTACCACCATGGCATTACACTAAAAACTCTGACCCAGGACTGCTTTATAGTCACAGTACCACAGTACAACTCTATCGAATTTAAAGCCACAAGGAACATTAAATCTTCTATTGTTTATTTGCAGGTATATCACAGACATGAATCTTCATCTATTTACCTTGCATTTAACCCGTTTATGTTTGGCTGATACATGTTTAAGGGTACACCCGGTTTTGATATAACAAAATCTTATTTACTAGTATGTAGCAGGTGGCAGAGCTGGCAGAGGGCAACCCACCGTGGTCACCCTCAAACTGGGTTTTGGACAATTCCACTTTTCCTATGCCAGTAATTCCCTATTTTGTAGCAAAAGAAGACAAGTGCACAGGTCCTAAATCTGTGTCTCTCAGGTCTCAGTCCTTACACTCTGGTAGAAATCATCTGTCTGCTGTTTTATGCTACCTACTGGCATTTTACTTGACAGGTGGAACCAGGAAAATCCTATATCATATGTTAGACATGAATCACTTGAATTTAAGAAAGGATTTTCATTTTACCTCCTGTTTCCAACCTCTTTTCTCCTGTCTTCTGCTGAAGTCCTGAATTAGGATTGAAAGGCCCATGAGCTTCTGCCTGGAGTAATAACAATGCCTTCTGTCACCTGCCGAAAAGGCTTGTTTTTTAACCATGAAAGCAATCATGCAAGCCTGTGGCAGGGCTCTTCATGCTTAAATTGGGTAGTTTCCCTCTTTGCCAGTCCTAGGTGGCCGTGATTCATCTCTTAACTCTGGAATAGCTGAGGCATTTTAGGGTGCTCTGCATCTGGGTGACAGATTGAGCTGTAGATGTTGGGTTTTTTTTCCACCTGTGGCATCCACTGGCTTCTTTAAACACATCTGGGACATGATTGTGAGCAGAGGCTGGTCAAAGTTTGTTGTTGTTGGGAAATGCAGGTTCTTTGTAAAGAAATCCTTCACAGGAACAGAAAAACAAACAACAACAACAACAAAATCACAAGAGTTTTAATAAAGCTTTTGTCAGAGATTGTTTCTAGGCCCCTGAAAAATTTAATTTCTAGTTAAAATGAAAGAGCACCTGAGTAAACCCCACTGTCCCTTCATGATCTTCAGTGCAGCCTGGAATTACATTAGTCACCCTCGGGGTTTAATATATATCCCAGGCTTTCAGAAAAATATTGCTTCTGTTTATCAGGGCATCAGCATTTGGTGAATAAGTTTGCGAATAATA